GGGGGGGGTGGGGAGGAGAGGGGGAAGGGGAGGACGAGCTGATGTGGCAGGAGGTCGGCCGTCCACATGTCAATGATCCTTCCGCCCGGAACCTGGTTACGACTTCTCCTTCTTCACTGATAAGGGTCGATGGACTTCTCACAGCAGCGTCAGCTGCGAACCGCCCGCAATCCATACACTTCAGCGGGCCATTCACTCGGTAGGAGCTATGGGCGAAGGATGAACCAGAGCACCAGCAGCAGGTCGACATCAACAGCTTGTGGGATGACTGCAGCAGCTGGAGTAGCACCCGCGTCCAGAAAGGCACCAGCTTGGATGACAAACGTACCTGGTCGCGTTGACGGGCCAGGTGCAGCTGCAAGAACGAACCTGGAGATGGGGAGATGGACACACACGAGAAGCAGCAGCTGAGTGAAGGTCCAGTCCGGCTCACTGAATGAACGAACAACTGAATGAATGAACCTGCCACCCTGGGCCTAGGCCGAAGTGATATACCGGGGCCTAGGTCCAGGTACGGAACAAACTGGTACCGGACCAGGGTCAGGCCGATGGCCTGAAACTGATCCGGCCTCACTGCCGGGCCGTAGGGGTACTGCTACAGCGAGCCTCTTAGCGAGTGGAGATGAGAAAAGAATTGGCAATTGTCAGAAAAAAGGTTTCGAAAAGAATGAGGCTGCATCCCCAGCCTGCAACTGCAACATTTTCAACAGCCCTCAGCCGAGCTATGGAGTTCTCCTCCGAATTTAGCGAGTGAGACTGTGATTGGGGCGGACAAATGCTTGTCCTATACCCATAAAGATTTGTCTCTTATGGACTTCGCATTCGTGAGCTCGTCACTTCAGCACTGCTGTGTGGCGAAGCAGGGGAAACTGTCTAAAGGGCGCCTGCCCAATTTCTTCTGAGGGCGTCGAGATTTTGAGGCTTTTGACACTGGTGTGGCGGCCTCCATTCTGTACCAAGAACACCGCACCATTACTTCCCTGGCCTATGGAGGTCCGTTGCTGTGAAAGTCTGTCAATATCCCGAACCCCCCAAGAAACACCCATGGTACCAAGAACCCCACGCCGTTTAGCATAAGTCGCAGGCGCCTCCGTTTCACCTGTCCGTGTCTTATCTGCGAATCGTGGCGTGCCCGTGTCCATGTCATGTCCGGTCCTGAACACACACATAAAAAAAGGGGTTCCCACCATTCCCATCTCATTCCGACTCTTCCTTCTGTTCCCACCCATTCCCATCCCTCTCTCTGTAATCAACCATCGCTGGTCATCCTCTAAATTCCTCACCCCTCCCATAACCCATCCCAACCTTTCCCAACATGAATCCCCACGGTGACCGCATTTCGCCATCTCTGTCTGCATTTCCGAGCGGACATGTTGGGGCTGAGCATCTGCTGAACGTCCATGGTTTTTCCAGACAGTCGGATTGCTGTTATGGTATGACTGGTTGTTAAATAGGTGGTGAACCTGGCTTCCGGCAGTCCTGCTGGAAAGTGGGTCCAGCATCCCCTATTTACAAACCTATTTGCAGACCTACCAATAGAGAAAATAGAAAGGCGGGATGGTGTTTGACATTGTGAGATTGGAAGTTTTTGCCTGTGGCATGCTGGCCCCAGTTTCAAGCAGGTGCAGCTCCAGCTCCCTGTCAATAGATAGGAGAGTCTCTCCAAAAAAAATAATAGTAGAAAGGACTTGTTGACAGAGTCCTTATTTGTGTCTTCTGATGATGGCAGGTAGAGGAACTTTCTACTGTGGAAAAGGGGAGTGAAGCTAGAGAAGAAGAAGATGAAGCCGTCTGTCTTCTTTTACCTCTTTACTATTGCTATGGCAGTGACAGTGATGACGCTTACTCAGGCCGCACCAGTTGACCATTGCTACAATGATCGGGATTGCGAAGATGGAGATAAGTGCAATCGACAAGGCCAATGTAAGTTCTATTGCAAGCCACCGAGATGTCAATTCGAACGACTATGCTCCTTCCATTCAGACTGCAGACGGAATTTTAGTCCCTCACACATGTGCTGTAATGGGATGTGCATCAGAACAAAGTGCTGCACTCACAAGGATTGCACTGCTCCAAAAGGTATCTGCTGCATTGGGGAATGCAGGGTGGCCTGTTGCACAGATAGAGATTGCCATGGATACAGAGGGCCACCCGGGTGCAGGAACAGGACTTGTGAAAGGTCGTGAGCCGGACACTCCCACATGATAATCAAGGTATCTATTTTGTCATTCACGATGCGGACATAATTTTCAATTTTGTTGCCTGTCTGCTTCTGATCAGCAATACACATGGTTTTCCTCTTTTTCATTTTTGGGAACAACTGCCCCAGTGCCCTAGATCTTCATCATTATCATCATCATCATCATCGTCATCATCATCATCATCAGTATGGAGGCTGGTGTGCTTTTCAACCAGAGCTTCCTTTGGGCCCAGCGGAGTGGGTATGGCTATCATGCATCATCATCATCATCATTTCAGCAGCAGTATTACTGACATCACCATCATCATTATGAGCATCTTCATTGGTGCGTCATCATCATCATCATCATCATCATCATCATCAGCAGCAGCAGCAGCAGCAGCAGCAGCAGCAGCATTACCGCACCATCATCATTATGAGCGTCTTCATTGGTGCGTCATCATCCTCATCATCCTCATCCTCATCCTCATCAGCATCAGCATCAGCATCAGCATCAGCATCAGCATTACTGACATCATCATCATCATCATCATCATCATCATCATCATCATCATCAGCAGCAGCAGCAGCAGCATCAGCGTCATTATCGACATCATCAACATTATTATCATCATTATGATGATTGTTATCATCATTATTAGTTTGTTATCATTAGAGTTTGCTCTTCAAGGCATCGTTCGCCTTTCGCATCAGCAGGTGAGTGGGTCGTCATCATCATCCTCATTATCATTATCTTCAGGGTGCTGCCCAAGCGAATGACATTTTGGTGAGGGGGAGGGGGAGAGCCCAGCCCCGCAGGGGTTTCATTAGGTGGGTGGTGAAACCCTGGAGGGGGTACGGGCAGATTATGAGGAATACTCTTTTCTGGGGCTGGGCATTAAATCCCAGCGGGGGCAGATTAGGGTAAGGGGATGGATAGGGGAATGGAGAGAATGGAGGAAGGAAGGGAGAGGGGGGATTTTTTCTGAATCATCTCATCATCATCATCATCATCATCATCATCATCATCATCATCATCCTCCATGTTATATCATGCTTTCTGGTGTGCTTTATATCTGGCCTGCTTCCTTAATCGGGATACAGGATTTTAGAGATGGTCGAATCTGGACCGATATCTACAGAGTTGCGTTGTCTTTGCCCCTAGTTTGGCGATGCCAGAACGACGCTGGCCGGAGCTGGTGCGTTGCCCTGTAACCTGCAATTGGCAGGAGTGTGAGGCTTTGTAGAGAGATCTGGGGATTTGCCGAGGGAGGAAGGCAATCCACTGGCGAACCGGGGGGGTTGCCTTGACTCCCTATGGGCCTAGGGATAGTCTAGGTGGCGTCAACAGGTCAGCTATGGTAGACATTGGTTAGGAGGGTATTGTCTCTGAGATGTAATGTCCTGGTGCAGGGAGGGTTGGGAGGGTTCGAAGATTAGGAGGCTAGAAGTGCTGTTATAACATAGTCTTCTATATTTTCTATATACTAATCATCGTATTCATCATCATCATATTCATCATCATCATCATCATCATATTCATCATCATCACCATCATCATTATCATCATCATCACATCATTATATCATCATTTGATTATTGTTATATTAAGCTTTTTGGTGTTCTGAAATTTTGGCAGCATCTAGCATTATTCCACATTCGGGATATAGGACTTCAGAGATGGTTGAACCTTGGACTGATATCTACTGTGTTGCTCTGTTCTGTCCCCTTGGTTTGCCGATGCCAGAACGACGCTAGCCGGAGCTGGGGCGTTGCCCTGTAACCTGTAAATGGCAGGAGTGTGAGGCCTTGTAGAGAGATCTGGGGTTTGCTGAGGGTGGAAGGCATTCCAGTGGTGAACCGGGGGGGGCTGCAAGGAGGCGAGGAGAGATCAGCTATGGTTGATGTTGGTTAGGTTGGTTTTGTCTCTGAGGCACAGTGTCCTGGTACAGGGAGGGGTAGGAGTTGTACTAAGATTAGGAGGCCAGAGTAGCTGATATAGCATAATCTTCTATATTTTTTTCATGTATTTGAATCATTATTCTCATTAGCATCATTATCTATGGTATCATCAGTATCATCATGGTCATCATCATAACCATTTGAGGGACGCTGAGCCCGGTTCTCAGCAGTTTCGGTTTGATCACTCCGGGCAGACTGTGAGGACCCCGGCCTCAATCTTATTATTGGTAATATCAGCCTTGGGCACGGGGCCCGGTTTAAAAAAAAAAAAAAAAAAAAGAACAAACAGGGGAAAAAAAAATACAAAGAGAATAGGGGGGCCATCACCTGGCTTTGGCTCATGGAAACAAGACCCGCAGGCTGGAAAATGGGTCCAGGATCCCATCAAACCAAGATCATTAACTGAAATGTAACAAGACGACAGATATACTCCAGATCGGAGTAGGTCCCCTCGAGGGAGCACCCAGAACCAAAGGGATGGGCTGCACACACCTAAAATTGGAATGGACTGAGGAGAGTAGAGAGGATACAGGGCAGGAAGGAATAGACTGTTATCTCCAGGAAGGCTGGGCCAGTGGTGGAGGGAGCTCTGCAATAGGAAGGGTGATACCTGCAGCCCTAAGGGACAGAAGGGAGCTTCATCAGGACAGATAGAGTAAAGGCCATAGCCCCAGGAATCGATGGATGTGAATAAACTGCATTGGAATGATATATTTAAGGGACACTGGACCCCGTTTGCAGCAGGTGTTGCTACCCACCAATAGATGGAGCGGCCTCACAGCCAAGCCCTCAATTCCGCCAGTTCTCTCACCACTGCCGGGATAGTGGGCTTCCAAAAAGGCATAATAATAATAAAAAAAATAAAAATAAAAAAAAGGCGCTATAATGACCTGCAAACCACAGACCGAAAAACCTGCTGTTTTCCGAGTTCCGCTGGATTGAGTGACTTGCCGGGATTCCCCGTACGTGCGTGTGCATGATTGCTGAGTTTCCATGTGTTTGCTTGACTGCATGATTGCTTGAGTGTGTGTGTGACCTGGGAAGGCCTACGGGCCTGGTACTTGTCTGTGGCTGTGCTTTTGTCAGGGCACAGCAGGAATTAGAAGTACGCTAGGCTCGTGTAGGATGAAAAAACACCCAGATAGCAGGTAGGTGGGCAGAAGAAGACAAAAACTGAGCACCTTGAGCGGCCGAACCAGTTTTAGAAGTCCGGTAGGCTTGGAGTCTAGGGGTACCGGCCCAGTAGACTGAGTCTGGGGCCTGCTGAGAGGAATATCGGACTTCAATGATGTTCCCTCCAAAAGTAGGAGTGTACCAGTACCTTGAGGAGGCCGCGCAGCCTGGAAAGTCACCCCCCGAAGAGGCAGTAGTCTGGTCATATCTAGGGAGAGAGCAAAGAGCTCTTCCTCAGTTGCATGCATGCAGTTTGGTGTCACGCTGCTTAGGCGAGCGCTAGGTGTAGTAGCGCTGGGGAGGAAGAAGGCGGGCTTGGCCCTCCACCGTGGCTACGGTGAAGGACCGAGGAGGAAACTCCGGGGAAGAAGGAGGAGAAGGAGGAGGAGGAGGAGGAGGACAGTGAGCAAGGAGGAGAGTGACGCGGGTGCTTACCTGGCTATGGTGGACTGCATCTTCATCTTCTTGGTTGGCGCTGCACTTGGAAGGCCCCAGTTGGGGTTGGCCTCTACAGGGAAGACTTGGGGGGCAGTGATAGGCATGGCGGCCATAGTAGGAGGAACACATTAGCTTTGCGTTGTGCGCTGAACATCGGAGTTTCGATCCTTGCTTCTGTCTTCCCCCGAACATAACGCATATGCGTTGTAAGCGAATGCAACACATACCGTGCATTGATTCGTTTACAATGGATATGCGTTATGTTCGAGTGAACAGGACCAACTTTACCTTCACAAGGGGGTCGGGTCCAGGCTGCGTAGGCTCAGTTCTGGACCACAGCTGAGAGCCTCAGAGCCTTGAAAAAACGGTAAAAGAAAAGTAGCGATGTACGTGCCTTTCCATGTTCTGGCCGGAGATTCATTTCTTTCCCCTACTTGGGGCCTCGCTCCACCTCTCAGCAAATGTGAAAAATGAGAATGAATCTTCTGCTAGAACATGGAAAGATACAACCCTTTTATCTCTTTTCTGTCTCCGTGACCACCGTAGCAGCGAGGCCTTGGTGAGTGGCTTGAACATGCTTCCACTTTCTTGGTCGCGCCACTTTCTTGGCTGTCAAAAACGCCTTCACGGACGGACACACATGTAGAGAGAGAGAGGGAAGCTTGTCAGTGACACGGATGGCGGTTGCTTGCCGACAGCAGAGCACAGGGGGCAGAGAGAGAGAGAGAGGCAGAGAGAGAGAGAGAGAGAGAGAGAGAGAGAGAGAGAGAGAGAGAGAGAGAGAGAGAGAGAGAGAGAGAGAGAGTCCGGCAGCGCACTGCGTGTCAGTGACCTGGAGGGCAGTTTCTCACTAACGACGCGCATAAGGGTCAGAGAGAGAGAGAGAGAGAGAGAGAGAGAGAGAGAGAGAGAGAGAGAGAGAGAGAGCACGGGTATGTCCCGGTTATCAGGGCAAGAACGAAGCAGGCGCTAACCTTCAGGGAGGGGGGCAAAAATTATATTCGAATGTAACAAATTTCTCATCGTGAAATTTGAATATAAGGCATGTGCACGGTATTCAAATGAAACACATATGTGTTATATTCAAAGTGCCCTTGTATTCGAAGAAAAAATTGTCTAACTTTTCGAAAACCGTTTTATTTTTAACTCAAATACAACGCATATGCGTTATGTTCGGGGGAAGACAGTAGTAACCTCCTCGTACAAAATCAGGGTTAAGGGCAGGGTTGGTGTTGTTAGTCTGACAATGCTTTCATAGCCAGATATCAATTTATCATTACAATTATAAAAAACTCGCCAACAAAGAAGAAGAAAATAATGAAAGCAAGGTCGTAGAGGAAGGAAGAAAGAAGGAAATAAGAGAGAAGGAACGAGACGATGATGCTATCACATAAGAGAGAATAGTACACGTGCGATAAAAAGTAATCGTGATAAATTCTCAAACACAGCTGACTCGTAATCATAACACCTTGAAAGTACTAAGCCAATCTACCTTGTCGTCGAAGAAAACAAAATGAAAAAAAAAAGAAAGAAAACTAAGAGTTCCGAAT